CTAAGGCTGGGCTGCATCTTTGGTTTTATAAGCAGTGACTCTGTGGTAGACCAGATTTAATAAATGAGTAGAAAATAAAACAATACATCTAAAAACCAGTCTTGTGAACATCAATTTGGTTCCTGCATTATACGCCTTATTAGACTAATGTAATCCATTTAAAGCTCCGTTTGTTCCATTTAACATGCATTTCTGGTCAACCGAAATGGCCTGAAATGTTCTTAAAAGCTTCAGCTGCCTTGTTCAAAAGGAAGTGGTCTGTTTTCTGTTCTGCTCCACCTCCAATATTTTATCTGAATTGCTGTTTGCCTCTGTTCTATCTCAGTTCCATTTGGGAGCACTTCACCATATGAAAACATGATTTCAACAGGAAACGACTACTGGACTCTAGGTCAACTGACAAAAAAAGCTACAATTATCTACTATTTCAGGATGCATTTTAATCATGCAAGGCCCATCAAGTTTTGCTTTAATTTAGCTGCTACTGCAAACTGCGAGACACTTTTACCCTTTGCTATGCAATGCATTGAAGTGTGATTTAGGCATAGTATGAATGAACATTGGCTAAAGGTTATTTATTTAACAAACTATAGAAAGCAAACTCTGTCTTAAAATAGATCCAGTCTGCATTTAAAGATATTGCCCTTTCAAAGATGTCATTACCACCAGACTGCTTAGATACAAAGTAGTCCTCGGCTTGCGATCATAATTGAGCCTGGAACGATGGTCATAAGTCATGCCAGCGATTAAGCAAGTCATCATATGACTGACTCAATTTTATGACATTTTTGCAGTGGCCATTAAAGGAGTCACCCTGTCATTAAGCAAATGCCATAGTGGTTAAGTTAAGCAAATGCCAGCCATTTTTGCTGAAACCCAGAGTGTGTCCGTCCATCCATCCATTCATCCATCCATCCATCCATCCATCCATCCATTTACCTACCTTCCCATTTTGCACTTCAGAGTGGATTATATCAAATTAACAAAAAATCCAACAATTATAAATATAAAAATGGATTAAAATTACAACAATTAAAACAAGCTTAAAACAAGGATTTGGAAGGGAGAGGCAGGCTGCCTTCTATATTAGTGTACAATCACTTCCAGCCAGCAGTTTCTCCTAAGCACCCCATGCCAGTTGTTAGAGCAAGGTTTTAAGGCTTTCTCTGAAGGCTAAAAGTTTCTGGCAAAAAATACTTCTGTCAATTGTGGTCATGTGGCCACGGGATGGTGTAAATGGGATGGTTGTCAAGCATCCAAAATGCAATCGCATAACTATGGGATGGCAGCCACTGAAACTTCAATTCTTGGTCGTAAGTACCTTTTTGGGGTAAGCTGATGAGAAGCAACTATTCCTAAATCAACTGTAAACTGAAACAAGTAATTTTCCCTGGGTCATTGGATATCAGCAAGGTTACTTGATTAATCCAATTTTTACCCTCCTTTTAAATTTCAATTTTATTTGTGCTATTTATTTATTTGCATCATATATATTAGCATTTGAGAGCCAATTTTGTGGAGTGGTTAAAGGCACCGGGCAAGATACCAGGAGACTCTTGAGTGTTAATCCTGTGAGCCCTAGGAAGAAGGCAAAGGCAAATCCAGAAAGGCTTGTCCAGAATGCAGCCGCGCGAGCGATTGTGGGTGCACCTTGGTACACCCACATTACACCTACCGTCCGCGATCTGCACTGACTTCCTATTGGTCTTCGGATA